CTAGAAAAAAAAATTAGAGATAAATTTCTTGAGTCTTGTATAAACCTTTCGTTTCATCAAACATTTTATATATGGGACAGTGTGGTCGGGTGGTAAGGCACTTGACTGCTTGCCCAAAAGGCTCGAGTTCTGAGCTCGAAACTCAGGCACACAGAGCGTATATTTGCAAATTAGATAAGTGGTTCCAGGTTTCCATGGTTCGGTAGCTCAGTCTCATGGGTACGGCGGAGGTCAAGCCACACACACAGACACGACTCAAAGGCTGTGTGACCGGATTTTGTCAACTAGAACCGATCAGTTCAAGTACGACAGTTCGATATAGATCTAGTCATAAAGCGCGCCAGAGCGTATCGATATCGTGATATATCTATTTTTGTGGAAGGCTTGACGTCACGACACATACGTCACGAATTGTGTCAAAGTCACCTATACAGGGCGTGTTGATCGTCTACTCACGTGCTGTGACGTGTATACTGTCCTTTTCTCTAGCGTGGCCCATTAGTCTACTTGTGACTGTCTTATTGGCACGTCGTGGGATTTGTTTCGTTATATTTTAATCCCCTCGTTCTATTTATGTTAAGCAAAACAAAAAGGATAGTGGTCTGACTATATAGTTTCACATGTGTAACGGAACTTGATATGAGTCAGCGTGCTAACTGCATGATTTACAATGCCAAGTTGAGCAATTCTAGTCTAGGACCGGCAAAATACAAGAACACATCGCTCACTGAATTCATGGTGAAATCGCGCATTTCTGAACTGCTGCTTGAAAGACGACAGCAGAAGTCAATGAATTGCAGTAAATATTCATTATTATATTGTTGGTTTTTGTGAAGATCATATTTTAATGGTTTTGTTCTTTAAACACAGTCACGCTGAAACACGTAAATTTTGTGCACCAGTAAAAAAAATATTAGCCTACCTAAATTTTGAATTTGAAAAAAAAAAAAATTAAATTTTTCCTATCAAGAAGAGTTTGGTGAATGTGCTTATGGAGCAGGAAGGGCTCAATACCTCCAAGAAAGTTGGGAACCACTGCATTATATTGTCTATCGTGCCATTATTCCCCAGAGTTTACACGTCAATCTTGATTACATTTTTCTGATCTGTACCCGAAAAGAAGATCTCTGCTTTAAGTTCTGCTATATTCAAAGGCAGATATAAGTGGGGCGTTGGCTGACAACCAAACATGTTTTTGGAATATATATATATATATATATATATATATATATATATATATATATATATATATATATATATATATACATATATATCTAATATATAAAGCTCAGTTCTGTAACGTGTGGCAAAAAAAAAAAAGTTTGTCGTTGACACTTCTACGGATTTAAGTGTTAGATTTTTTATCGTGCTCACAGTCTAAATTTACGAGTCAAAAAATTACCATTGAAAGTCTTTAAAAACAATTTTCATTCTATTTACTTAGAAGAATAATTTTCAATTATGAACGCGACATAAAATTTTTAAAAAGTGTATCGACGTTTATAAAATTTCTAAAATTGTGTCGGAAATGTATTGACTGCAAAGTTACTTCCCTTTAAGGAAAAATAAATCCTTAAGAAGAGAGAATTAACATTTTATTACTTTGTTTTTGGTGTTAAGAAAAACAAATAATTACACAATTAGCGGGGATTGATTAAGTGCAATGTCGTTAGGTATTTTTAACACTGCCTTTTATTTATTCTATACACTGAACATACTGTTCAATAATTATTATTTTTTTTTAAATTCAATAACATTTAATAAGCCAGGTCCTACAAATCATATACGTTTATTTCTTTCCATTTACGGATAAGCTTGGAGTATTATCATTTTTGTTCACTAAATTGAAACAGGCGCGTCCGCCGGCGCCCCTGCACGGTTTGATTTGGCACCCTGGGCTATCATGTGAGTGCTATGCTGCATAATTTTGTTTTAAACAGTGCGATAGACTATGGATAAGAAAGGTTACTATAGTCTTTAGGTGAATCAAATCCGGGCGTCCTCCGGCACCCCGACAGGGTGCTATTTGGCGCCCCGGGCCTTCCGGTGTACGCTATGGTATCTACGTTCGCGTGAGTTCAAAAGACTATAAATAAGTTATGCACTATAGGCGTTTACTAAGCTCAATCAGGCGGTGACGTCATGGTGCGTCCTCTGGCGCCCAGACAGGGTGCTTTTTGGGGTCCCGGGCCTCCCGTGTTCGGTTTCGCGCCTACGTTCATTAAAGTGAGTGCAAAAGACTATGAATAAGTTGGGGTACTATAGTCGTTTATTAAGTTGAAGTAGGCGATTCAGCCCCGTGAGCACTTTGCGTTTATATTCGCGTTAGTGTTTTCTTTGTGTTTAGGTTGGGTTTGCGTTAGTGGTTGCGTTTTGATTTGGTTCGTTTTTGTTCTTTCTTTTTCGTTTTCGTTTGTGTTTTATTTTCATTGGGTTTGTGTTTGTATTTGTGTTTGAGGTTGGTTTTGCGTTTGGATTTGGTTTGTTTTCGTTTGCTTTTTCGTTTGTTTTTTTCTTTGGGTTTGTGTTTGTGGTTGGTTTTGTGTTTGGATTTGGTTTGTTTTCGTTTGCTTTTTCGTTTGTTTTTTTCTTTGGGTTTGTGTTTGTGGTTGGTTTTGTGTTTGGATTTGGTTTGTTTTCGTTTGCTTTTTTCTTTGTGTTCGTATTGGTGTTTGTGGTTGTGGTTGGTTTGTTGTAAGTTTTTGTTTTCGTTTGTATTTGTAATTGTGTTAGCGTTATGTTTGCGTTTTGTTGTTTTGGTTTTGGTTGGTTGTGGTTTGGGTGGGCAATGCCGGGTTTATGATGATTACTAAACACACAGGTGATGGTCTTTAACAGAAGGGTTTTTCACAGAAGCCAGAGCAGGGCCTGGCCGGGACGGCTAGTATATATATATATATGCTAGCCGTTCTGGCCAGGCACTGCACTGGCCTCTGAAAAACATATATGTAAAGGACTTGTGTTTTTTTTCTAAGCAGTATATACCTGGCTTTGCCAAGGTTTAGGAATTAGGTATTACTTTTCCAATTAAATGTCAATAACACATAACCCTAAATCTAACTTTAAACTTAACACTAACCACAAACAATGACAACCACAACCAAAACACAAGCGCGAACACAAACGCAAATTACAAACGAAAACACAAACAAAAAAAGCAAACACAAACACAAACGTAAATGCAAACGCAAACACAAACACAAAACTAAAGGCAAGCAATAAGGCAAAAGTCAACAAAAACGTACACGTAAAGGACATTTAGGAACTTCTTCTAAACTGTCGATGTACAAAAATAACAATTAGTAAACAGTTCATTCAGTGTATAAAGTAAATAAACAGGCTAATGGTTAGTATAAAAAATAACTACGTTTTACCTACCAAACTACACTCTATCAAGCCATGCTAATTAGATAATTGTTTTTTTTTTCAAAATAAAAACAAACTTAAAAAATGCATTTTTTCTGCTTTTTATTATATTTTTTATAAGTCATTTATCAAGGGAAGTAATTGGTATAAAGGAACATAATATTTATATATTCTTCAGACAAAATTAGAATTTTTGTGAAGGGTAATACATTTGGTTTGATTTTGCTTTATTTACATTACGCCAATTAAAATGTTAATATTTAAAATGAAAATTTAGTTTGAAAATGATCAATATTGAGTTATTTAATCATCCGTTTAGATTTCAGTATAGAATTTAACTCTAAAAAATTACACAATGGCGATCAAGTCTAATATTTACTATAAGCTAGTCTTTCATAAACATACAGAGACAAAGCGTCTATTTGAGCTATATATGTATAATATATATACACGTGTACATGTGGGAAAGCTTCTTATCATCTGCCACACCCGAATCAATAAATTATCAACATGTAGGCGCCAGTGGTTAAAATGTAATTTTTATTTAGATTAAAATATTGAAATTACACGAATTCGGGATCTTGTTCTCCTAATCATATTTGCATGCTTAAAAATAGCGACGCGTATCATTAATATGCATGCTTGTTAATCCTGACGCCATATGCTGCACCGCAACAACCAATAAGAAACTAGTAATAAAGAAAACAATCCCGCATAGCGCTCGCCGAACCGCTGTAGTCGAAACAATAGTATCGCCGGTAATTATGATATACTTTATTTTTCCGTGTATCTATTAGTGTTAGGACTGGCTTAGGGTTAAAGAATCTTTGGATCCTCTCCACAACAGATATTTGAATACGATGGTACGGTTGTTAGGAGAGAACTTATTGTAAACGGCTTAGTGTAATTAATGATGTGGTATGACTGGGTACATAGTGGAAAAATGTCGAATGGCCTTTCATGGTGTCTCGTCTCTGCTAGTTCCCCTACCCCCGGGATCTGCGCCAGTTATCCCTCATGTCATGTCCGGCAAGGAGTGGTTCCATTATCTGCCACCGTCCGGTCAGGTGAGGACCTCACCTTATCAACACCCACCCATGGCAGTTTTTGTTCCCGAAGCCTCCATGTCTCTCTCGGCTAACGACAAGTGGCAGTTGCCATTTTAGCGCCGATGGACAGACCGGGCCCCGAGCGAGGGGGCTCTGACAGATTAGCGGCTCCCCTTTTGTTTCGACTGTCAACCTGTGGCCCTTGGTTCATCCGTTAACTTCCGGATCCTCAATGGCTCCTCCCTCCCAGAGGCCCCACAATGCATCGCTTCGTTGCCCTCTCGTGACACTCCAAGCGTGTGGTCTTGTCAAATCACCGGCGCAGCGGCCCGTCACACGCGATAGACCACGCCCATCCCGCCAGGCGTTCACAACACCGCGGCTCTAACAACCAATCACAATCGAGGACGGTTTCTAAGCACACCTCCAAACCAAGATGGAGGGGAAAAAAAGGTCTGAAACCTGAAAACATCGCTACTCTCACAACCAAACCCCCCATTTTAAATACAAAAACTCCCCCCACTCTTTGCAGGTGATTCCTACAATTGTAGCAGTCGCCCCGGGGGTGGGGGAGGAGTAGACGAACACCAAGTCAGGAACTTTTATTATTTAAAGACTTTGCCTTTTTACTCTCCTCCGTGTCGCGTCTCGAGCGAGGTCGAAAGGGAGCCGAAGTGTATCATGTTCGAGCGACGGTCGCCGCGAACGTCCGAGAGGAACTAGTAAATAATATCCAGTGTCATCGTGTGAAACTCAAGCCTAGCCGATGCCACGTATTTCAGCCTGTTGTGTTGACTGACGCAGGGAACCGCTCGCAGTGTTGTGTAATGCCCTGCCGCGCCACCATTTCTCTACCTGAAGCTGCAGTGAAACAGATTTAAAAAAAAAAAAGACAATTTTTAGAATGCTGATCTGAGACGCTGTCTAAAGCTGTGATAAGAGATTGTCTCCGATCTAATACTGTTTCATTGGAGGATATTTTTTATGCTTTCAGTGAAAATTCGTGGTTGATGGCACCTCAAGTATGTAGAGTGAGTGACGTGTATCTAATTACTGTGCTGAAAACTACGGGAACTCTTGCTGTGTTCTAGAATTCTAATTTTATTCTACATTAAACGTCTCGTGTTGTGTCTCAGCATGGGCTACTGTATACCTAATATTTAGGCCTAAATTTCCGAGTTAGTTTTTAGCTAAAACGATAGCTATTTTTATGTCGTTACTAAATTGATACCTCACTAAGCTATAGTTCTCAAGTTAATAAATTTAGTATTTTAAAGTCTATTTTGTAAGTAAAAATTCTTTGAATTTTGTACGCGCCGTTTTAAAACTGAACTGACGATGGATTTAAATCAGGTAGGACTGGCCGACACGGATGGCTTCATCTCTAGCCCAGACTGCTTGACCTCGCATGACCGGTCAGCCAGCGTGTCCAGCCTTACCCTGCTGTCCCCGCCCTTAACTTCGGGTATTCCCAGCTCTATAAACAGCGACGGCAACAGGCCGGGGCTGAGCAGCCCGGGGGAGAAGCCCAAGAGCACAAACAACAACAACAGCCCCGACCTGAAGCCCGACTCCCCCCAGAGGTCTGAGTTCCTACTCAACAAGAACCTGGCCTTCTCCCCCGAGCAGGTGGCCTGTGTCTGTGAGGCCCTGCAGCAGAAGAACGACATTGACCGTCTGGCCAGATTTCTCTGGTCACTGCCGCCCAACGAACTCCTGCGGGGCAGCGAGGCCGTACTCAAGGCCCGGGCCATGGTGGCCTTCCACCGAGGGAGCTACCGGGAGCTGTACGCCATCCTCGAGAGCCACACCTTCGACAGCTCCAACCACGCCTTCCTGCAACAGCTCTGGTACAAGTCCCACTACATGGAGGCCCAGAAGATCCGCGGCCGACCCCTGGGGGCGGTGGACAAGTACCGACTCAGACGGAAGTACCCCCTGCCCAAAACCATCTGGGACGGGGAGGAGACCATCTACTGCTTCAAGGAGAAATCCCGGCAGGCGTTAAAGGATTGTTACAAACAGAACCGGTACCCGACGCCGGACGAGAAACGGAACCTGGCCAAAAAAACCGGCTTGACCCTGACCCAGGTCAGCAACTGGTTTAAAAATAGACGGCAGCGAGACAGGACCCCCCACACGGTGCCACACCTACAGTGAGTTCCCTTTTACTTATCTTGTGTGTGTTTCTACTGTCTCAAGTACCCATCTTTTGTGTGATCAACTTATCTGAACTCCCAAGTTAGGGTTTCTTGTTTCTTCTATGTAAAATATTTAAAAAGATTGATAAATGAAAATTATCAATATAAACCACAAATTATTTTTTGGACACTATCTGAATAATTATAATTGTGTAGGATTTGTTTAAAAAGCAAATAATTACATTGTAAACAGAGTGTTCAAAGCTTAATGTCTCCTTAAGAAGCTAATCTTTAGCATTTAGAGTTGAACGGGTTTAGCTCTACTAGTAAGACGATATATCTGTTACAGATACAAATATTTGTACCACACATAGATATTTTTCGGCAGATATGTGTATCTGTTGTAAGTAAACACCTATCTAGAGTAGATACAGTTTTTTTTCTGGTAGTAGATCACTACATAGGTTATAGCCACAGATGGTCGTAGGGAGGGGGGGGTCAGTCTATAGAAACATACCTGGCAGGGTGGGACAGGTACATACCCAATGTAACAAACACCAGGACATGACTGGAGTAGATAACAGAATCCTCTAGAACAGATGACAGACTTTTTTAACAACATAAAATAGATCACATCATTCTATAACAGATAGAATGTTCTCTACAGCAGATACCGTAAACACTATAAGTCCATGTCTAACCGGTAACGGATTTTTAAAATAAAATAAAACATATCTTTCTATAACAGATCTCGATAACAAATATAAGGTCCTACTAGAAGACACGATAACAAATATAAGGCCCTACTAGAAGACATAACGGGTCTTTCCAGAAAATATAACATCATTCTATAACAGACCAAGTCTGGATCAGATAGCATGTCCCTCCCCGCCATAACCGATAACATGTCCCACTCCACCATAACAGATAGCATGTAACTACATAACAGATAACATGTCCCTCCCCACCGTTACAGATAACATGCCCATCTCCATAACAGATAACATGTCCTTCCCCCCCCCTCCCCATAACAGATACCATGTCCCCCACAACAGATAACGTGTCCCTCCATAACAACTACCACGTCAGCCGTTCCTGACTCCTGATTCATGTTTACTTTTAGACCGGCTAGAAGCTCCTCCGTTCTTCTAATGATGATATCTCACTAGACCTACCTGGCCTAGAACAATCATGTTTTAGTAAAATACCCCCCCCCCCTCCCGTCCCGTCCCCCGCCCATCAATCACTAGCAGACGATGTATTCACACCCCGGTGCCGGCAGACCACGGCAATCGACCACCAGCTGGGAGCCGGCAGCGATCGGCGACCGGCGATTGAAACCGTCCTACCCACACCGTTGTGCCAGATTACAGTAAATCCCCCCTCCCCCAGGCCTCCCAGTCTACACGTTGTTCGAACCCTGGAATCATGTCTGTGATTTAATTTATTCCGATCTCTAGCAGAACTGGCGACAGACTGGCGCGAGTCGCCAGACCTAAGAATAAGCAACCGTTTAAGACCGGCATTCTTTTTTTTACCCTGTATATCACCCCTATAACGGCTAGCGTGTATATTTACTCGGGGCCTCTGTGTTAGTCCGACCTTATATCCACGCTAACAATCACGCTTAGCGTACTACACCGGGCTTTGTGTGGGGGTAAAAAGAAAAAAAAAATCTCTCCACGCATGACTGATTACGTTTGTGGAAGTCTTTGATACCGTAACAAGCACCGTTCCACTCTGTCGCTTCCATCAGCCATCCGGCCGGGGAGAAGATAGTTCCCTTCCTATACAAATAATTTTTTTTTACTGTTCCCGGCGGTTCCCCCTGTGTCGAGGGGACACAGCACTTGAACACGGTGAAACGCTAGTCGTACACGCGATGTTTGATGAAGTCGTTTTGTCGCGGCCATTGCCGTCCTCGCGAGTAGGTCCAATTAGATACACGGAGTGGAGTGTCGTGGTTTGGGGGATGGGGTGGGGGGGGGGAGATGAAATCTGTTGAGGGAATATCGGGCTTGGTCGGTTGGGCGTCCTATTGGGGCGAAAGTGAGAGATCGAAGGTTATATCATGTTTGTGAGAGTGTATGAGTTAGGTCATGTTTGTGAGAGTGTTTGAGTTAGGTCATGTTTGTGAGAGTGTTTGAGTTAGGTCATGTTTGTGAGAGTGTTTGAGTCAGGTCTTGTTTGTGAGAGTGTTTGAGTCAGGTCTTGTTTGTGAGAGTGTTTGAGTTACGTCATGTTTGTGAGAGCATATGATTTAGGTCTTGTTTGTAACTTATTGTAAGAGTGTATGAGAGAGTAGTTAGGTCAGGTCATTGTGAACGGTGCTTATTAAATACCCAGTGGAATTAGAATGCGGTAGCACAAATATGTACTAGCCACTCTTTGCCTAGCTGATATCCATCTAGGATTAAGCTGTGTATTTGCGGCTTACGGTTATTACTAAAATCGATTTAAGGATAGGGTTTGAATTAAAGTTTTGTTTAGTTTTGTAAATGAACCCGAGAACTATTAGCCATTTTCCACCGACGACAGAAGTATGCCTATCCTGTATAAGATTATTATTAACCGTTGGTCTTAAAATCATACGTTTTACAAAATATTACCAATAAAATAACGAAACTCATAAAAATGTAAACAAACTTCTATTCCATGTTTTATTGTTAGTTTCTGATTAGGCTTTGTGTCGTTTCACTAACAGTGAATGAAAAAAAAATTAAACATAAACGCATGTAAGAAAAGTTTTTGTGTGGAAATTATGCAAATGCTAAGATATTAACATAATTTTTATTTCTATAAAAACCTTCTGCTCCCACGTTTTAGGCAGTATTTCTATTAGAAATATCAGTAGAAATCAATTAAAATTAATATAAAGAAAGACATTAGTTTTGTAATCTCGAGGTCTTATTTTACTTGTGAAAATCTTGGTGTAGTTTTTTTATTGAATAGATTTTTTTGATAAAGTGAGTCATATTTCAGTTTTGTAAAGAAATGTAATTTTTTTTAATTTTGAGTAAAAATGTAAATATTGGAAATAAAGTTTTATGTTTTAATTTTGTAAAAGAAACATTTAATTCTTTATTATTTCATAAACAATAGCTACATTTTATATTTTTAAAAACATTTTTTTTAATTCTTAAAAAAAAATTAGCTTTCAATTACAATTTTTTAAAGTAATTTATAAAAACAACAACAGAATATTTGAAAAACTTTAAAATAAGCAAAACGTCAGATTTAAACATTTTAAAATTTTAAAAACATCAAATAACCCAATACCTAAGGTTTACAAATATTGTTTTAGTCTATTTAATTAAACGTTGTTTAATTATGATAGATCCTTACATTACCTAAACAATTAGACATGATTAACATCTAGCATTATTAAATTACAACCATTTTATCAAACTAATTAAATTGTTTTAATTATTTAAAGTTAATTTTTTTTTTTAAATAATCAGCGAATGCCATTCAACAATTAATTAGTTTTAGTAAATAATGTAATTAAAGAAAGCACGATGGAAGTTATTAAAATGTAGTCTGGGCTACTTTAGAAATATTTTAAAATATATTTCTCAAGAAACATTTTTAATAAACCAGTGCATTACAAAAGTAATATTTAAAACCAACAGTATTTCTTAATAATCTTTTACCAGTTAAAAAATTGCTTTGAAAAATTGAAAACTATATTATCAGAAAATTGCCATCGAAATTATTTCCAAAAAAAATAAAAAATAAAATAATAAGTGCAAAATGTCAATGATTTCTTAAAGTAATTTATTTTAAAATAAAAAAAACAACAACAACAACTAGTTATTACAAAATGTTTTACTTTTATTTTTTTCTTTCAAAAATAAACTTTGGAATCCACAAGTACCATGGGACAGCACGGTTAAAATCTTTTTTCTCATCAACAATGTATCACAATACTTCTGGGAAGGTAAATATGGCTACTGTAATGGCCTCTGTTGGTTCAACTACTTCAGTAAGTCACTCAGTGGCTGGGAACAGAGTGCTGAGTACGATTTACAGCTGACAATTTAGTAATTGGTTCTTAGACTCACAACTCTCAACAACATTTTTGCTAGAATAGCTTGAAAAGCTGGTTCCAGATAGTTCCAAAATGGTTGTTGTCAGAAAGTATATTTTTCAACAATTTTTGTTTTTTTTAACATTTGTGAAATAAGTACACAATGACTTCCGGTTTTATTAAGGCTAGAAAGATTCAAACAAATAATTTTTAGTAATATAATAGTAATTTAGCAAACACATATTTTTAAAATTTGGATTAGTAGAGTCAGGGTGTTTTGGTGATGGGGGATGTTATATTAGTTAATATAAATAAACTACTAGACTATACCCCACTGACCGCTTTTCTGTATTTTATCATGGAAAATAGTTATTGCGACCATCAATATTTAATTTTCCCTGGCCACTCCAGTTGACTTCAAGGAGGGGGTTAGTCAAAGGCGGTTTTTTAAATTAAATATTTGAATTGATACAATAATTTAAAACGGCTTTTTTATATTTGATACAAACATTTGAAAATGAGTGTAATCGATGGTTCCCAAACACCTTTAATTTTTACAAATGTAACCTTAATTTTATCGCTTGCCATATTTTGTGAAAGATTTAAAATGTGTTTAGTATGATTACATAGACTTTTAAAGCCTATTTCTACACATAATATCTGCTTAATAATTATTCTTAGCAATTTTAAAGCTGCTCTTACCTGAGCACGTTGCCACCCACACCTCCTATCAATTTACCAGATATTCACCCACTAACTAAAACACCCCACACCCAAACACCAATCCATTCTCCTCTCAGCTAAGACACACCCTACACCTATCTACCCTATCTAAGCACCATAAACATTGCATAAAGTCTAACATACGTTCCCACAACCACAAACCAACACACTTAAAACATCCCCCACAACACCTAACACACCCACACACATCCAAAACATCACCCCCACCGGTTAACGCCCACCTGTAAAGGTTGCTTTATAT